AAATATTTCAAGTTACACTATTACAAATTAAAATTTATTAAATTTAACAAATTTTAATTTTTGCGAAAGTTTTCTAAATTCAAGTTTTCTTATTTATTAATATAAGTATTTAACTTAATTATTTAACTTAAGATGAACATATGTTTAAATGCATGTCATAAACGTAAAGATTTTTGTTAACATAATTTCTTAATTTATAAAATTTAAATAATCATAATCATTTTAGAATATTTTTAGTACATAATAAAATGAATACATGGAAGACATAATAAATTACAATATAGGAGATAATTATTTTTAGTGATATGTAATCTTTCTTGATATTTATTAAGAAAGATTACATTTCATACAACTAAAATTAAAGTTAAACTGAAAAAAATATTTCTTACGCTTTAATATAATTCAGATTAAAAATATAAAATTAATAATACCTTTAAAGATTTGAAATATTGCGTTTATTACAATTACAAATTTTAACAGAAGTTTCACATTTTTTAAGGACTTAACTATAAATAAACATGAAAAAGGGATATCCATGATGTAAAGAAACACTTGTCTCCTTACATCATCGCGATATCCATTTTACGTTCAGGCAGAACTCAATAAAACAATTTATTTTTCAGATGTCAAACAATGTTTGTATAGATTAGTTAATTCAATTATTTATTTATAACACTATCGATTTAATAAATATTTTATAAATAAATAAATAAATAAATATATATATATATTTTATCATAATGTTTATCCTTGTTGATTATAAAATTTTATATCGCTGCGCGAATAATGCTATGTGTGAATATAGCCCTTACTATGTGATTTATTTGATACTCTTTTCACAATATTTATTTTAATTTATTTATTTTACTTGTTTTGTAGGAACTTGTCTTTTTTAAAAATTTTATATTAATTTGTTTTTCTTAAACATACTTTTATACGTAAATTTCCGTTTGCAGGTGATCTTGTTGTGTCATTTGTAAACGAATACTGGCTGCCATTATATCGAATAGCATTGCCACCAACAGCTGATGTTTGGGACATATTTTTAACTAATATAACTAATCGCCTCTTTTCGAAAGTTTCCTTTTCAAAAGTATTTCCACAAAATTAATATATTTATTATATATGTCAAAATATAGTATCAAACCTTTGTAGAATAAAAAATATATTTAGTATTTGTAAGTATAAAAGGTTCATGAAATGTATTTCTGAAATCTTAGCGTAAACTTTATTTTTTAATTATCATTTACAATGAAAATAAAATAAATAACTTTAAATATTAATTACAGACAATATTACAGACAAATTATTTTTCTCTCAATTATTGTGTTTTTACATAATTTAAATAATTCATAAAAACAAATTATAGTTTCAAAGTAAAAATGTAAAAAATTTAAAAGAAAACAGACGTTTATAGAGATTTCATATGTTTTTATGATCTTCATATGATCAATCGGAGGATTATTATACTACATAAAATAAAACAGTTAACAGTTAACATAATGTAAATAAAAATCATTCTTTAATATTGCATATGTCATATATTTACGTAACAGGAAACAATAAAGTTGACACCTTTTAATTCCTTTTTTAATCTTCTAATACATATTCTTAATGATCAATGCTTATTAATGAGATTGTAAAATGTAATGATATTGTAATTGATTCTGAATATACAATTTTAAATTAAAAAAAAGTTAAAATTATTGTTACAATTCATTGATAAATACATAATAATAAAAATTAAAAGAAATAGTATCATAGAAACATTATATCTAAACTTAAAAAATTTAAATATATACATACATTATTTCTGGAATTTTAAGATTTCTTCTCATAAAAGCAACAATAATGTAAAAAGAATTATATTTTTGTATGTGTGTATATGTGTGTGTGTGTGTGAATAAAGAATTTTATTTTGACTTTTCATATTAATATATAATACTTAATCAACAAAACTTTCTCGCATGTATCAAAAATAAAATTATATAAACAGATTACTCATTAAAAAATTATTTAATATTTCATACTAACAACATAATACATAAATTATTAATACGATCTTCTTAAAATTTCATATGGCATATTATTTTACAAATAGTATTTACAATTTTCTTTTGATTAAGGTGACATATTTATTCAAAACTATTTCTCTGTATAGACAACTTATTTATATACTCCTTTTTAGAAAAAATATATAAGTATAATAAAAAATATATAAGTATATAATATGTTTCTTAATTATCAAAATAGCTTAAAAATTAATCTTTTATTGATTTATATTTACGTATTTTATATTTACGCATGTTTTAATGATAATCCGGTTTTATATAGCCTTTCACATAGAAAGGCTGTATGAGAGCCTTGAGAGTTGAGATTATATAAAACGTTCCACATCTGAATTGAACCATTCCCAAGAATACTTAATAAAGGAGAAGATGTTATTTTACGTGCTAAGTGTATCTATTGTTACAACGTTGGGATTATCTGCAAACGTGCAACCTACGCTTCGTAAGCCCTTTTTAAAAATTCTTTCATTCTTTTAATAATAATATTGTATATCTATGGAAATTTTAATATTGTTTCCATTCATTTTGTATACACGCAGACAGTTGATTATACACAATCAACATCAAGTTGACATAAGAATTACTTCAAATAAGAAAGATATAATTTTTTTATTTGTTATTTCATAATACATTATAATAAAATCCTTTTTATTTCTTTTTCTTGTTATACGTTACTTTGCATTTTTCTGCAAATTTTTTTATTAATACTTGCAAATGATTTTATCATGCGTATGAGTGACGAATATCTGAGTAACAATGAATACGATATTATTTATCACATTAAAAAAAAAGAATAAAAAAAATTATTTCTTATTACAGTCCATAAAACAGGAAATCTCATGCATATATACTCGACAAAAATAGTTATTTTTTAAATTACATATATTCATATGTTATATTTCCTTATATTATATTTTCTCTTTATATTCTATTAGTTTTGATATATTTATTGTACTTTATTTTATTCTATTTCTATTCCTACTCAGCTCTGATCACCTGTAAACGGGAGTCAGCTGATTATTCCGCTTGTTTAAAACGTGCTATAAAGGAGGAATGGCCACGATTTTGTAAAGGTATTCAAAATGTGTAAAAAAATTTCATAAATCATAAATAAAAAATTAAATAGCTAAAATTTTATTCAAAGCAAGTAAATAGGATTAAAGTTTTATTAATCAAAGTGTTTTAAAATATGATTATTATCATTAATTTATTTACTCTGCCAGGTATTCCAGAAATTGGCTTTCCATCTTTAGATCCATTATTTTACAAATATGGCAAAGGTATATTTGATTCAGGCGAGATACGTGCAGAAGTGGTTATGAAAAATCTTACTTGCACTGGTTTAAAAGAAAGTCGTTTTTCTGATGTGAGAACGCATTTTCTTGATGATGATGATGTTTTCCGTTTGGAAATCGCTGTACATGCACCGAAATTACATGTAAAGGGTTTTGTAAGAGCAACGGGTACAATAGGTCCATTCAGAATGAATAGTAAAGGTATAAAAATAAATTTTATGTAGTCGACATGAGTAGAAATATACCATTTTTTTACTTATATATCTACATTTATAATTAACATTTAATTAAATAATATATTAAATTGTGAACGCACGCATGGGTGACGGGGAAAAGACTGAATAGACTTCCTACAAAAAGTTAATAAAATCAAAGTTTTGTTACAAATTCATTATTAGTAAATTAAATAATTATAAGTATCCAAATTTACTATAATATACACAATAGAATGTGTATAAAGATACAATCATTTTACTCCATTATAAAATTAATAATTATTGTTTCAATTTGAACTTTCTTAAAACAATGATCATTATTCCTTTTAAATTATTATTATTCTTTTCACACCTCAAAAAAGTTTATATTATAATTTTTATATTATAATTTATGTAACAGGTCCTTTTAACGTAACTATGGATGATGTAACAGGCACATGGAATTTAATAGGGCATGTAGTAAACGATACATGGATCGTAAAGAATTTCACTGTCGCTCCCACAATTCGAACATTCAAACTATATTCCGATGATTTGTTTGAGGGTAATAAAGAACTTAGTAAGTATTACGCTATATCGTAATTTTCTGTTATTTCTTTTTAATAAACATTCTCTCAAAAAAAAAGAAAATTAGAACTTTATTACATAACACTTCACAAGTAAAGTCTTCTCTTATTGTTTTTTCTTTCTCTTATTTTTATGTGTATTTATTTATTTATTTTTTTTTGTAAATATAAGTTCATAATATAAAACTCAAACACAATTTACTACTTATGTTTATTTGCAACTTCTGTTTATATATCACTAAGTATTAAATTTAACTATATCGTAGTTCTTATGCTACTTTTTATACACACTTTCAAAGAAAATCAAACTTAAAACTTTATTAATTTACAAGTTAAAATCTTATCTTATTATTTTTTTCTTTTTTTCTTTGTTTTTATATGACTTCTTTGATTTACTTATTTTTTATAAATATATGATCATAATATGAAACTGACACACAACTGCAACATATTTGTTTTTTCCTAAAATACATTTTTATATATAATAACTTTTATTTTCAGATAATCTTATTTTAGCTTTTGTAAACGAGTATTGGCCGCCATTATATCGAGTGATGTTGCCAATAATGGCCGAAATATGGGATCCGTGGATAACTGGCATTGTCAATAATCTTTTCTCGAAAGTTTCATTTTCACAGATATTTCCATAAGACTGATGTTTATTATATATTAAAAGACGAAATTAACTTGTATTGACAAATACAAGTAACGTGAAAACTATCTCAAATAGTATAAAACAAATTTAATTTTTCTTATATAAAAAAGCCAAAAACAATTTTAAAGCTTTTTATATTACATATTTTATGAGATGAGCAAAGGAAAGAAAGAAAACACATTTTACTTATGAATGCATGACGCTAATTCGCTAAATTGTTTATTTAATAAACCTTTAAATTTTTTATATATTTTGAATAAATACATTTATTTTACCAATTTCTTTTTTAATTTAAAAGGCAAGCTAGTTATAAAGATAATTCAGAATGTCAAATCTTGCAATCTCTACAAAGAATGCCACACATATGTTAATTATATGTCGCTCTATTTCTCTTTTTTTTGTACAGATTAATTGATCACAAATAAAGTCGCATAATATAATTTAATCGTTCTATTTAATCGTTCACGGTTATATTTTGACATATATAATTATATTTCAACATATATCAAATAATTATTTAATTTTTGACTGCAATAGAAGATTAAAATCTCTTTTGAATATAGCTCTTTGTTCCGTATATGTTAATACTTTTGTTACTACATCTCATAGGCAAAAGAAGGGAATAGGATAAAGATAATATCCAAGTATGTATGTGACGAAAATAAGATGCAAAAAATCTGAGCAAGAAATGAAAGACACAGCTTTGGAATAAAAGTCAGAAAGAAAAAGTTAAAATAGACATCAAGAACATGAAAAAAATTGTCAAACTTTTGCATCAAAAAATTCATATCATACACCTCCATTCTATAACTGTTTAATCTAAATTTTTTCTAGTGTATAACCGATCGAACTAAGTTTCATTTTCTTTGAGCATTGATAATTAAATTTATGATTTGGCGAACAAGATTTTGCATTCTTCAAACAAAAAATTAATATATATGTATCTATTATTTCAAATCAACAATATGTATGTGTGTGTTTTATAAATGTGCGTATGTATGTTTTGCGTATTATAAATATCCATTATTATTTATGTACAGAGTCTTCGGAATTTTTCCTTGCTCGTTCTTCAAACTCTGTGTGTGTTGTGTGTGTGTGTGTGTGTATGTATTTGTTGTGTGTGTGTGTGTGTGTGTGTGTGTGTGTGTGTGTGTACACATATCAATATTTATATTCAACAATTAATTAAATATGTGTATTAAATTGCAAATGCACGCATGAAAAAGGCTCAACAGGCTTCTTAAAGAAATTAATAAAATCTAAATTTTGTTAGAAGTTTATTATTAGTCAATTAAAATATTTATATCGTATAATATAAATTTATTCCAATATATATTATGTAATATGTAATGTATGTTTACACACACAAACCTTTTTCTCTATTATAAAATTAATAATTACTGTTTTATAATTTGAACATTTTTAAAAAAGTAATCATTATTTTTTTTTATATTATTATTATCCTTGATACATTCTAAAAATATTTATATTATTTACGTTATAATTTATGTAACAGGACCTTTTAACCTAACTACGGATGACGTGATAGGCACATGGAATTTCATAGGGCCTGTGTTAAATGATACATGGATTGTAAAGAATGCCATTTACTATCCCTCAATTCGAAAATTGCAACTATATTCCGATGATTTATTCGATGGTAATAAAGAGCTCAGTAAGTATTAAATTCAATTATATCATAATTTCTTGCTATTTTTTTTAATACATACCTTCAAAAAAGAAAAGAAAAATTAGAATTTTATTACACAAGACTTCACAAATAATGTCTCATCTTATTATATTTTCTTCATGTTATTTTTATGTGCTTACTTATTTTTTACAAATACAAGATCATAATATAAAACTCATACACAATTATCACATATTTATAATATATTAAGTAAAGTATAGTAAGTATTAAATTCAATTATATTATAATTCTTTTAATAGTACTACTTTTTGTAATACACAACTTCAAAAAGAAAAAGAATTAAAACTTTACTATTTATAAGTTAGAATCTTATCTTATAGCTTTGTCTATCTTGATATCTTTATGTGTATTACTATTTGCAAATATATAATCGTAATCTAAAACTGATACACAATTGTAACATATTTGTTTTTTTCTAAAAACACATTTTTAAATATCAACTTTTATATTTAGATGATCTCATCCTAGCTTTCGTAAACGAGTATTGGCCGCCAATATATCGAGCAATGTTGCCAATAATGGCCAAATTGTGGGATCCATGGATAGCTGACATTGCCAATAGGTTTTTTTCGAAAGTTTCTTTCTCACAACTATTTCCAGCCTAATATATAAGTCTAATGTATTTATAAATCTAATGTATTTACATTTAAAAGATATTAACAAATTCAAATAACATAAAAGCTATCTCGGATAATACAAAACAAACTTAATTTATGTTATGTAAAAAACAATTTCGAAGCTTTCTATATAATACATCCTTTATATATTCTATAAGCAAAGGAAAGAAATGAAAAGAAAGACATTTTTCACTTATGAATGCATAATAGTAACTCGTTAAATTGTTTTATTTAATAAACTTTCGATTTTTTTATAAATTTTTTAATACAAACATTTATTTTGCCAATTTCTTTTTTAATTTAAGAAAACAAGCTGTTTTTGAATATTCAAAACATCGAATTTTGCAATCTTTATGAAAAATGACACGCATGTATTAATTACATCTCGTCTTATTTCTTATTTTTTGCATAAATTAATTGATCACAAATAAAAAAGTCGATTAAAGTAAGCTTTAATCATTTAACATACAATTATATTTCGACATATATTATACGATTATTTAATTTTTAATTAAAATTTCTTTAATTTTTAATACAAAATTAAAATCTCTAAATAGCTCTTCGTTCCATATACATATGTTGATATTTTTGTAATTGTAATCTCAGAAGAATAAAATATCTAAATATGTATGTGATAAGAATAAAATGTGTCAAATAAAGATGTCTAAGCAAAAAATAAAAGAGCACGAAATTTGCTGCAGATAGAAATCAAAAAGAAAAAGTTAAAATGCGCACCAAAAATGCAAAAAGAATTTTCAAATTTTTGCATAAAAAAATTCTCTTTCCAAATCTTTTAGAATATTACTAAAACACAAACTTTTAGGAACCACACCATACACCTTTGTTGTATAATTGTTTAATCTAAATTCTTCAGTAATACATAGCTGATTGAACTTTCAAGAAATTTTATTTCTTTTAGGCATTGATAATTAAATCTACAATTCGGCGAACAAGAATTTTATAGTTTTTCTCAAATCTCGATTAAAAATTCAATACGTGTGTATTCGATATTTTATGAACAATATGTGAACGTGTGTATGCGTGTGGGTGTGTGTGTGTGTGTGTGTAAAGAACTTTATTTTAACACTTTTATATTAACACGTAACATTTAAATTAATCAGCAAAATTTTGCTACATACTAAATATTGCATAAAATAAAATTTGTGGTTACGGTTTCTTGATTGGATAAAATTATTAAGATAAAAAATATATTGTACAACATTTCGGGTGTCATACTAACGATTTAGTATAATATATTATACGTGATAATATTGAATCTGTATGGTCAAGTTCGACTTTCAATTCGATTTTCCTTTGATTATTGCGACTGCTTATATTGGTTTCTGATCTAAAATTGCTTCAATCTGACTCATCGAATGCTCGCAAATTTCACAGTGAGTCTATACTCAACTCGCAAAGGTACACAATCGACAAAATATACAAATATCGAGTAAACTCGCAGAATCAATCGCGACATTGAGAAATACAAACTCGTCGTTACCGACTTCGAAATTTTCTTATACTTGCACTTTCAGCAATTTCGAATAATCATACAAATATCGGATAATCTCGCAGAATCAATCCCGACATTGAGAAATACAAACTTGTTGTTACTTTGTCATCTGAATATTTTTATCCTCGCACTTTTAACAGTTATAAATATGATTCAAGGTTTCTTGCAAAATTAAACATATCGGTTTCACGTCAACAGCGAAAATATGCCTACAAATTGTATAAATAAATTAATCATTAAAAAATTATTTTCCATTTTATGCTAATAACATAGTATACCATTATTTTATTACGAATTTCTCAAAATTTTTCATGCCACATGTGAATCTATGAAATATGTTTAGAATTTTCTGTTGATTAAATTTATTTAAAACGCATTTTTATTCAACATTTTTTTTATTTCTCTGTATGAATAATTTACATACTATTTTAGAATAATTATAAAAGTATGACATATCTCCTGAATAATCAAATAAATCAAAATAGTTTAATACTCATAGATTAGTTTTCTTATTTCGATTTTATTTATGCGTTTTAACACGTCATCAGATTTTATTATATCGTTAAAAACCTTGAAAGCTGAGGTTATATAAAACATTCTACGTCTGATTGAATTATTCTCAAGACTACCGAATAAAGTATAAGATGTTATACTACATGCTAAGTGTATTCAGTTTTGTAACGTTGGGATTATCTACAAGTGGACAATTTACGCCTCGTAAGACTTCTTTAATAATTTTTTCCCTGTTTTAGTAATATTATCGCATATCTTTATGCCAAATTTTAATATCAATTTTAATATCAACCACTTAACATATAAAGAGTTTACAGTAAACATGTTTACTGTATACAATCAACATTAAGTTGATGTAAGAATTACTTCAAATAAGAAAGGTATAATTTTTCATTACTTTACTATAATTACTTTTGTTTTTTATACGTTTACTTTGCATGTTTTTTACCAAATGCTTTTATTAATACTTGTAAATAATTTTCTGTATGAGTAGCGAATATCATAAATAACTATGGGAACATTATTTACCACTTTAAAAAAAAATAAAAAAAATCGCTTTTCAGTTATATAAAATAGAAACATCTCATAACGTACATATATATTTGGCAAAAGTAATTATCACTTTTTAAATTACATGTTATATTTTATTATATTTTTTTATATTCTGTAAGTATTGATAAATTTATTACTGTTCTAAATTTATTACTGCTCTGTTTTACTTCTCTGTTCTACGTCTATTCCTATTCAGCTCTGATCACCTGTAAGCGAGATTCTGATAATTATTCAGCTTGTTTAAAACACGCTATACAGGAGGCATGGCCACGATTTAATAAAGGTATGTTTTTTCAAAATATATATTAAAATTTCGTAAGTTTACAAATAGCTGAAATATCATTTATGACAAGTAAAAAGGATTAAAGTTTCATCCATCGTACAACTCTAAAATATGTTTATTGTCAATTTATTCATGCTGACAGGTATTCCAGAAATAAGTTTTCCACCGTTAGATCCATTAGTTTTCAAATATGGTAAAATTATAGTTAATTCAGGCGAGATACATGCAGAAGTGGGTTTCACAAATCTTACTTATATTGGTTTATCAGAAGCTCATTTTTCTGATGTGAGAACACACTTTCTTGATAATGATTTCCGTTTAGAAGTCAATACAGATACACCCAAATTACAAATAAAGGGCTTTAGTAAACAGCGATGGGTACTTTAGGTCCATTCAGACTTAACAGTAAAGGTACAAGAATAAATTT